CTCCTCTATGTTGCCAACTTCTTGCTGCCCATCTTCTTCTTCTTGTGTCTGGACATGGCCTCCCTCCCGATGTCCCACAGAGACGGCGGGAAGCTCAGCTTCAAGGTCACTGTGCTGCTTGCCATCACAGTGATGCAGCTTATTCTCAATGAAATTCTGCCCACCTCGTCAGACAGGATCCCACTTATAGGTAAAGAGTCGTGCCTTTATTGGACTTCATCGAGCATCACAGCACATACTGACTCAATGAGTGGGGCCTTGCACACATCAATGATGCTTCCTGCTCCCCTCAGCGATCTACTGCATTGGAGTTTTCGGGATGATGCTGATCAGCGTCATGGAGACAATTTTTGTGATGTATCTGATGGAGAAAGACTTCAAGGATGATGAGACAGACAGAGACCAAAGCCTGGATAAGAGCTGTGAGGACAAAGTGGGTAAAGGCAACTTCCACAGCTGTTTCAGAGGTGAGATTATATCCACATAAAGATTTACTAAACATGTTCACTCATGAAATACAATCACTTTAATATCATTACTCAAATGTGTCTGTTACGTCCTTCCAGGGATGAAGAAATGTGTTCACTGTGCGTCTGCAAATGATGCATCTGCTGATGACACATTTGTGCCCAAAGAGGTCAGAACCACATTTCAAAGAGTTGGTTTACACAGATGCAAAAATGTCAAGTTGAGAGGAATTATGTTTGCATGGATGCTGATCTTTTTGTTGATGGAATTTTTCAGTTCTTTGAGCATGACGAGCACTTTAATGTAGAGAAAACGAGAATATGACCTTTTAATTCTAATTAGAACATAACAGAAACTGAATGGAGCAGCTAACAGTGTCACATGATCTACAGTAATACTTATGACCCGTCCACTACATCACTACTGCAGGGCAGCAGCAGCCAGCTGACGGAGCTGTCTCTTGCCTTGGAAAAGGTCTCAGATGAGCTTGGGGAGATCGACAGAACAATGAGTCTACTCAGCAGCAGCAAGGACGAGAAGAAGCCCGGCTACTGGACCAGGATGGCAAAGAAAATCGACAAGGCTTTCTCAGTTATATATGTCCTATTTGCTTCTGTGTTTCTAATTACAGTCTTTTACATTTGGAGTATTCCGTATACAGACTAGCTGTAAAGTTTAAAAAGAGGTTGAATTCACTGTTAATTTAGCACAGGCATGAACTTTTGTGTAGTCTGTGTTCACACCTGTTGTTCATTGACCAAAGACAACAAAATGCCCCATCGATGTCTCAAACAGGGAGGTGAGGACTCAGACTGACTTGTTACAAACTGATCCGAACATGCAGTCTGATAATGCAGATATGTTTTCTGATCCATAATGCATCATCAGAACGACACCAACCCACAAGGATTTTTTTTCTTTTTCTTTTAAGTAACAAGTTGTGTTGCAGGTCACTGTGCTGTTAGTTGTGCTGCACAGATACTCCACTTCTGTGCGTTATATCCTCAAACCTTCCGTCTGACTGAAACTAGGCCTGATTCTAAAAAATTGTTGGTAGCAAATCATTCTGAACTGAAATCGGGCCAAATCTAACCAGTATGCACCATATAGGGTTTTTCAAAAGGTTAATAGTTGTTGAAAATTACAACTGTTGCCTTGCAGCTCCATATCAGCATTAGGACTGCAGATATTATTCTTGGTGGTTACTGAATCGATACTGCATGCTTGTCTAGGCTTCAGGAGAGCTAAAGGTGTCACAGACTTGGGTTTTCTTTCACTTTTTGTTTTAAGTTTGCTGTCCTAGTGTGTCTTTTTGTGTTTTCACTTCCTCTCTTTGTCTCCGTTTCCCTCCTATTTTGATCGCCCTGACTGGTTCGACCTGTGTCTTGGTCTCTGTGTATACATAGTCTGTCTGTGTTCTCCACCAGTTCATCCTGTTCTGTCTTCAGTTTGTCCTCCCATTCAGTTACCTTGTGTGTTCCCTGCTTGCTGTTGGAATGTTGGCGACACATCTAACACATACTCATTATTAACCTGTGGCAAAAAGTCCAATTAATCTTTCAAATACACAATGAAATATATTCAAAAGTGTAATGTAATGGCAATGTATCTGTATTCAGACTGCTCACCTGTGGGAATATGGTGCATTGTAGTTTAATATCTACCATGTAATGTAATGGTTGTAAAAAAATGTTAATTGTTTAAAAGTCAGTTCTGTGTTGAGGCGAGAAAGGGAAGTGATTTGCTTTGGTTTGTATTAGCGCTTCAAAAAGGAAAAACGAGCAGATTGATTGATGAATCCGCTATCGATTATTTTGGTCTTTACGCTGAAAAGGCGCAGTACCGAGTTGAAGGGGTCATTGTTTAAATGTTCTTTTGCTCATTTATTGTTTTGCCTTGTTTTAATAGAGCATTTCCCCCAGAATTTATGTTTTAAGAGTTTTTACCTGCTAATCGGGAATCGATTGGGTATGTCTGAGTTCATGTCGGGAACCGTGTTGCTCCTGCTCGTCCATTACAAGGCTGGACGTGGAGAAAGTAACACCTCGTGTCTTGTCCTCATTATTCCCCTTTTCAGGGGTGTAACAGTAACAGCTGAATATTATTATTATTTCACGTCTAAATTTGCATCCGTATTTAACATATGAACATAATATCATGTATTCATGTGATAAATGAAAAGTCTTGATGTCTGGTTCTTAAAACGTTCATTATTAGACGAGTAAAAGAGAAAATGTTGACAAACTTCACTCTTCTCCTCTCTTTCAATGTACATACGCATATGTAACCGGTAGAATCAGTTCTCTGCGTTTTGTATTCAAAGCCGACTTTCTTTTGGAGGCGATATCTGTTTATTACGGACCTTGACAGCCGATAAAAAAAACATACAAGATCTTCCATCAATTCACAAAATCTGTACCCCTCTTGCACTGCACTGCGTAAGGCGGGAAGCATTCAGCGCATTTGCAGTAGATGTTCAGTACAAGACGGGACACATACCTTGACAGCCTATGAAAAACAAACAAACACAAAAAATTCTTCCGTCAATTCACAAAATCTGTACCACTACAGAAACCAAACACTGCACACACATATTAGGGGGATTATATTACACTAAATTGGCCGCTAGGGCCGTTTTAGTGTGTTTTTCTGTCATTTGGTATTATGAAGCAACAGTCTGGGGGCCCGTCTCCATGTCCTGGTTCAGTCTCTCAGTTTTTCCACTTGATTGGGGTGAAAACCAGATGAGAGGCTCACTGATGTCCTCAATATCGAGCAGAAAGCCTTCCAGAACCTGGAGATGGACTGGGGCCCAGTCAGACCACATCCCTGGGAAGCCCAAGCAGTCTGAACACATCAGAGAGCATAACTTCTGCCAACTCCTTGGCCAAGGCTAACTTGGGCAATGGGGTAGAATGCACCATTTTAGAAAATTAGTCTGACCAGTGTCTGTACAGTTGTGTTACCTTAGGACATGGGAAAGCTGGTGAAAAAGTCCTGGGTGATGTCTGATCAGGTGCGATGTGGAACAGAAAGGGGCTGGAGCTGTCCAACGGGGGCATCTGGAGGTCTTGCTCTGAGTGCAGACTGGGCAGGCCGCCACATACTTCCCCACCTCCTTCTCCATAGATGGCCACCAGAAGGACCACGAGCAATGTCCTCTTGATGCCCTGGTGACAGGAGAGGGGAGGGCAGTGTGGCCAGTGAATGACCTGAGAGCTGAGGTTGGAAGGAACAAACAACCGGTTCAGGGAGCACCAAGTCAGTGTATTAATGTCGGCTTTAGCCCGCCTGGCCTCTTCCTCCACCTTCCAACAACCCAACAAGGCAGCAAGATGGGAGTAGAAGACTTAGGGAAATCATCAGGGTCGAATATGCAGGACAGAGCATCTGGTTTAACATTCTTGGAACCAGGGCGATAGGAAATTGGGAATTTAAATTTGATTCTTGGGCCTTTTCCATCAAATTGTCATCTATAATTTTTATGAGCAGCTGTTCCAGACTGCTTGTTCTGATGGAGCTCTGTCTGTGCATCTAACTGTGGTTTTGGCACGCTGTTTGGTAAATCATATATATAATGAAAGTCTGAATATATATAAGGAATCTTTATGGGTTTCCATAGAGATAGCGGTGCACATAGTCGCAGCAGCCCCTTCAGGAAACAGCGAGAGTGAAAGTTTTGAGTGTCTTGTCTATCCCAGATGTTCATTCTGTAAAACTTACATCCAAGACACTTTGCTAAACATCAGGACAATGAACGTTGCTAAAATTGCGGCGGTCGGTTGTGATGTGGACACACTACACCAACACCGAGTCCGACCGGAGACTACGCTGGCATTTACCCGAGAGAGAAGGATGCTCAAGCGGTACGAATGTGGTCTGTAGTTTGGGTTTGAAATATATCTCTTGTGACACCTGTCCTGGAAGCTTTCTAAATTTGTATCTAAACAGAGATGCAAACTCTACTGCCTCATCAGTAAGAGCAGTTTCAAGCCAGACAAGTATTGAAGTTTTTTCTGTTGAATATTTCAAATTGTTGGAGGAATATTCTTCAGACATGCTAGCACTACATATGCTCAATCCTTTCCCTTACATGGTATAACTGTTATTGTATACTTGATATTTTAGTGTTGATGATGCCAGAGAGGATGGATTAGGGAGACTAGTAAATGACAATGAACCCAAAACAGCAAAATGAAAGTTACAAGAGTGGATGGAAAACCCCATCTCTGTTTATTTGCACTCAAAGATATTGGGAATAAATCATTTGTAATTGTGGTGATTCTAACTGGCCATGGAGAAGCAAGGTATTTAGAAATGAGTCTCCAATTACTTTTTTACTGTAGAAGTATCAGAATCAGAAAGCTTTATTGATCCCTGAGGGGAAATTGCTTTCAATCAAAAGTGTTAAATTTAAACTTAAGTATTAATATAGAAAGAAAATATATCTGAACACAAAAAATAAATATACATTCTGCATAAGTATATTAGGCTGGCGCTTCACCAGAAGCACATAACAGGGGCTGAGGTGCACCAGGTTGTGGTCTGACCTACACAGCAGGGGAGGGGAGAGGAGCTGTATGCATCCTTTACATTAGCATACAGCAAGTCCAGGGTCCTCTCCTCTCTGGTGGGACAGCCCACATACTGGGTGAAGCTGGACAGTACTTTGTCCGTGGTGATGCCGTTAAGGTCACCCGAGATAGCAATGAATGCACTTGGGTGTTGAGTCTGTGGCCGGGCTATGGCGGAGTGGATGATGTCACATGTCTGGTTGGTAGAGGGGGGCGGGGGATGTAAACAGTCATCATTATAACATGGGAATACTTGCGAGGTAGCAAAGATGTTCATTTTGTCCTCAAAGTACAAGTAGACTTAAGAATTTCTTAGTAATAGGACAATGGTATGAAGTTGTTGTTGTTGTGAGCTGTACCTTGACATGTTTCGGCGTTCCATCCGTTGCCTTCCTCAGAAGTGTCATCTGAAGTGTGTCTTTATCAGCTGTTTTTTTTTTTACTAGGTGTGGCCAATCTGACAGATCCAGTGGGTGAGTCAGTTTGGCCACACCTACCGCCGCGTGGTGGTCTCTGGAACAGAGCATCCGAGGTGTGGGTAGAAGGAACGCTCCATCATCTCTATTGATTGTGTGTGAGCCTCGCTTCCTGATTTTGATCCGGGAGGCCATTGAAATCAGGAAGCGAGGCTCACACACAATCAATAGAGATGATGGAGCATATGTTTCTAAGGGATTTTCAAAGATTCACTACATCTTTGTGTGTGTGTGTGTAGGTGTGTGTGTGTGTGTGTGTGTGTGTGTGTGGTCAGCTGCATTCCTTCTATATGACCTGGCTTAACCTCCATGAGTTCAGTCCTTCATTGCCTGGGACTAATGCTCGAATCCTTCTTTCCGTTTCTTCAGATCAGCTCAGCTCATACATTAATATACATTAAATGGTGCCAGTGTCGATGTTAAGCTTTCAGAGCTGTTGTAAAATAATACATTCCAACACATAAAATCAACTTCTGATGCATCTTCTACATTTAACTACTTAGACAACCCGAATGGNTCTCTCAGTTTTTCCACTTGATTGGGGGTGAAAACCAGATGAGAGGCTCACTGATGCCCTCAATATTGAGCAGAAAGCCTTCCAGAAGCTGGAGATGGACTGGGGCCCGGTCAGACCACATCTCTGGGAAGCTCAAGCAGTCTGACTATGCAGGACAGAGCATCTGGTTTAACATTCTTTGGAACCAGGGCGATAGGAAATTGTGAATTTAAATCAGTTCAATCATAATTTTTATTTATTTATTTATTTATTTTCACAGATTCTGAATACGTCAACTGTTTTTAGTTTTGGTTTGGCAAATTTTTCAGTTGGAAAGTTTCTGGTTCTGATAAATGCTGTCACTTTGGCATTGTCTTAAAGATGACATGCCTTTCAAACAGGATGCTGTGTTTTGAGGTTCAGAGGATCAGCTTTGGTCATGGTCTTAAGATTTATCAACCCAGTAGTACATTGGCTCAGTCAGCTCAATGCGTTGCAACAAGAAAACATTTCAGAACACAAGCCAATGAAAAGCAACTGAACTGAGTTGCAACTCAGAAGCAGGTGTTTAGTCTCATCACTGACAGTAAACAGAAATCTGAATGTCAACTGTAGCAGCTTGTCATTTTAATCACCTCACTTAAACAGTCTTCAAAATACCCAATCAGGGTAGCAGCAGCCTGCTGACGGAGGAGCAGGATGCTTTTGAAAAGCTCTGAGATGAGCTGAAGGATGTGGTGAAAACAGATTTTGCTCCTAAACAGCAGGAAGGAAAAAGAAAAACCCAGCTACTGGACCAGAAACACTACCAACAAAGCAACAAACAGAACTGAAGACATCTCTTCCGAAATCCTAAAAAATGTTTTACCAGAGCTTTCATGTTCTAAGTGATGACTGTCAAGTTAAAGACCAGTGACTTTCTGAACTGGGTTGCACCAGTAA